CAATAAATTTTTGATTTAGGGAAAAAATAGGTTTGAAATTTTTTTGTATTAGAGTTTAATTGAATTTTATTTTAAATTTATTTAATTATATATTGGTTGGTTAGTTTGTTTGATTATTTAATTTAATAAGAATGTAATTATTTTTTGAAGTAAGGGATTTTTAGGTTTTGTGAATTAGAGGTGAGGAAAAAATTGAAAAAATTAAAAATTAATTTTAAAAGTAGTATTATTAAATTTGGATATTAAATGTATATGTTAGGTTTTGATTGGATTTTGGATTAGAATGTGAAAAATTAAAAAAAAAAAAACCTGAATCTAATTATATATATTTAAATTTTTATAAAATAAAAATAATTATTTTATATCAAATTTATTTAAATATATTAAAAATCATATAAAATAATATATAAAAAATTGAATTTACAAAACCAATGAATGGAATAAGTAGAATTTGATTTGGATCAAATTTTAAAAATTTATAATTTTATATATTATCCGAAAAAAATTGAATTGAATCTAATTTGAATTGAACCATTACCATCTCTATTGTAAACATCTTTTTTCCATATCAATATAAAAAAATTTATTTATATCAAATTTAATGAATTTATAACAAAAATATCTTTTTATAATTTTTTAACAGGTTTGAACTCAAATATTAAAAAAAAAAAGAGGAAATTGATTTTTGCGCTTGAGACAACATCCATCAATAATGAAAATGAAATACTTTGAATATGATTGTAATTTAAAAAAAAAAAAAAAGGTAAAATGAGAGATGGAGAAGATTCACAATTGAGTTAGGCAGCCATGGAGTTCAATCATGTGGCAATGGAAATGGAGTATGAAAAAGACAAGAAAATACCAAAAGCAAAAGAGACCCTTACCCTCTTTTTGCTTCCATTTTTGCTTCCATTGATAAAAGCAAAAATCCAACCAACTAAATTATGTGTACTCTTTCTTACTTTAGCTACATATTTTCAGCCCTTCATAGCCTCACATGAGACAAAAACAGTGGATCTCCATGTGCCTCTTCATCCATTGGCACATAAATTTCAATCAAGGTTAACCTAACCATGACCTTCCCCTTAAGATTTATATCATTATTGATTTATCACTCACAATAATAACACAATTTTATTTTGAAATATAGACATAAAATTTTAGATTTAAACTTACTTCACAAATTTGGATGAACTACCCCTATAAACTCTTCTAGCATAGAGCTAATATCTAGATTATCTCTTTTGATACTATGTAAGTAGCGAAACCAGATATTCATACACTACTTCTAAGATTGACTACTTCAATGGCAACTTTTTTCATGGTCGGAGGTAAAATTACCAAATGTATAGCATTCCCTCACACTCGGTATCAATGGTGTTAATAGTTTGTATGTTTGTTTAGGTTCGGTTCAATATTTTAAGCTTTAAAATTTTTACAAACCTGAAATTGAAAAAATAAAATTAAAACTCATTTATTAAATTTAATTTATATCATAAAAATTTAAAATTTTTTTTAAAATAAAATATAAAATTTTACATATACATTTATATAATTATAATGCTTTAATTATATATTTTATTCGAGCCAAGCTCAAATTTTAATTTTTTTATTCAAAATTTAGATGAATTTAAAAATTATGCATAAATTCATTTAATAAATTTTAATTTTTTATTTAAATTCTTTCAAAACGAACTTTCAAACCTAAATAAAATAATTCTATCCTTGAACATATATAATGTAACAATACTCACTCATTTATATTCTTTTGTCTATAGTATTTATTTCAACTCATAACTTTACGTTAGTTTTTGTTGCATTAAATGTGTGACAATAAAACCAGCTTTATAGGTAGCATTAAACATTTCCACTATTAATTGTTTTTTTTTTTTTGTTTTTTGAAAATTAAAGTAGATAAATTATTTAAATCTCTTATATTAAAGTAAGATATATTATATCTAAAAATTTAAAATAAATGATTATAAGTCGTACATTCGAAATTACTCTAATAAATAATCATCGATTCGAACTCAAAATCTTTTTATCAAATAAAACAAACTTAATGAATTAAACTAACTATTTGTTAATTTTTTATTATTAATTATAGACGCAATATGCAATTAATTACCCCTTTGTGTTGTTTAATGGTATCTTTAATAATTAATTTCGTACTATTCATCGTATGGATTGGGATTTTTGTGAAATTATTATCGAATCTTTCCGTCCATAACAAAATCTTAACTCATAATAAATAGATATATAATTTATTTTAAATATTTTAATGAGATAAATTTAATTTTTTATTTAAAATATGATTTCAATTGTAATTTTGTATAAAGATACACAAAAAAGCCCCTAGTTCATCTATATCTATATGGTGTCATTTTGTATCATAATCTTTGAGAAAAATGAGCATTGAAGATATTTTATTTATCAGTATGGAGTTTCCGGGTTTTTTTTTTTTTATATATATGTTTTTTGAATTGATTCAATTAGATTTTTTAAAATTGAATTTAACGAATTCATAAAAATTTATTTTCTTACAATCTTTTAATCTTTCAATGAACTTAAATCTAAACAAAAAAAAATATTTTTTTATCACTTAAACCATCCAATCATTCATAATATTAAAGATTAAGGTGTCTAATATTAAAGGTTGGGCAAAAATAAAACATGGGATCTACCAATGTTTTAAAGATTGTGCATGAATCCATCCAGCAAAAGAACCATATGCATCTTTAATTACACTGATTTTCTCACCAGTTCTGAGGCATTTCTAATGGCGTGAACTGAATAAATGAAAGCATGAAAACCCCAGTCAGATAGGTCAATTTTCCTTCTTTTAAATTCGTGGGAGTAATTGAGTCATACATTTTGGCATAAAGTTGTTTGAATTTCATAATAAATTCTGCATAGTTTACAGATAAGGACTTCCACCATCAAAATTCTGTTCAACTAATGAATGGAGTTATTGAAGAAGACGTCGTTTGGTCTGTACAGCCTCTCAGGGCCAGGGGTCATTGTGGGCCTTGCTTTGCTTTGGAACAGGCATAACCAAATACCGACCATAATTTTCTTTGAAACAGGTTTTAAGACCCTCATTTTCGATTTAACTCGCTCTGATTATTTTTATTTTTTTATTTTAATTCAATCAAATCATTTTTAATTTTAATTTTGATTTAATCTGATAATTTTTATTTTTTTTAATTGACTCAATTCAATCATCTTTATCATTAATTTTAATTCAATCTAATTTCTTTTATATTTGATTTTAATTTAAATTCAAATACTTTTATTTTTTATTTTAATTCAATTCGATCACTCTTATTTTTAATCTTAATTTTGTTAGATTACTTTTATTTTTAATTTTAATTCAATTTGATCATCATTGTTTTTGATCTTGATTTAATCTAATTCACTTTTATTTTTTATCTAAATTTAATTTAATTATTTTTATGTTCGCCTTTAACTCAAATCGATCAACTTACTTTCGACATCTCACCGTAGTTTTCTTTGGAACAAGTTTTAAAGGTAAAACATTGTGTTCTTTCCTTGTGGATTTCATTTGATACATTAACATTTTATGTGCTACAAACAAGAGATGTGAAGTTTAAAAACTTCAGCGAATGTGATAATTTCTACTATTATAAAATATGAATCCATCATTCCATAGGTGACCAATGATATAATAATTGAAATGAGCATAATTTGTTAAACCTTGAATGGATGATCAAAAAATAAAAATCACATCAAAAATTTTTTTTTTGATTTGATAAGGGGGACAAAACCCTACAACAAGAGGGAGATGAGAGGTTGGCATTTGAATTCTAATCTTGATGTCTTCTTAAGCTTTATTTAATCATTAAATCAAAAAACTTAAAGATTATATCAATTTTTATGTTAGATATAAAAGGTAAATGCTTTTATTTGGATCGTTTTTTATTTCGTATTTTTAAAAGTTTTTCTTAAACATTTTAAAAAATAAAAAATAAAAAAAAATTTTATCTACACATACCAAAATTTTTTTAAACATATATTTTTCAATAAAATCAATAAATTCCTTGACGCTTCTTATATATTATAAATGAATAAAAAATTCAATTGCATTCGAATTTATTTGAAGTAATTATTTCTGTGTAGTATTTGTGGCTGTAGTAATTAAGTACTAATTTTTAACGGTCCAATCAACCTCTATACTTGTTGGAATTCAAATATTAAGACACTGATCACTACATAGAGGCGAGCGACTGTTAAAAGAAGTAATAAACTTGATGACCGGTAGCTTTGAGATCAGAGACAAAAGAAGCCAAATAGTGTAATCCAATAGCAGAAAGAAGGAATCTATTATCTAATATCTATGCAAGAGAGATTCGAAGCATTTTCTTCTTCTAATTCTTCTAACATAAAAAAGTGGGCAATCCCAAACAAAGGACTTGAGAAATAATAAAAAAAAAAAAAAACTCCAGAGCTAACCTGGAGTAAGGAAAAAACCTGGTAAAAAATTTTAATTTTTAAATTTAAAATTAATTCAAAATAAAAATAATGATATCTAAACTTATTTGATTAAATTTATTTAATAAAAATAAATTTAATTATTATATTTAATTTTAAATTTAATTATGTGTTTGTATTTAAATTTAAACTCATATTAATATATATAAATAAAATAATATATTTTTAATTAAATAATAAAAATATATTAAAATTTAAAATTTTAATTACATTCATAAATTACTCTAAATAAATATTTAAATACTTAAATTTAATTTTTTTAATAAATCAAATTATTAAAATTCGAACTCAGTTCGAAGATAATAAATCAGATTTGAATTTTGTTCTCAATGTATCTTACAATATTAATATGTAATTGACGTCTCTAGTTCAGAACGGAATACGTGCAAAGAGGAAAGAGGGGGCTTAGGGGGAGAGAGAGAGAGTGCTGTGTTTGTAGATTCTTGTGCCGGTGCTTTGACGCAAAAAGTATAGGGTTTAGCCTGTCTTTGTTATACACTTTATTTCTTTATTTAATGTATTGGTAAGGCCAGTCTTGCACGTGCTCCTGGGGACTCTCCCCCTTTCACCCCCTCTTTACTTCAATGCCATTTTTTCCCACTCAATTACACTTTCTGACGCTCTGCTTCCCTTAATTTTGTTTGCATCTTCCCTTCCCATCTCTTTCCTTTTCACTCTCTTAGCAGGAAAAAAGTAAGCGACTTGGGAAGAAAAACGCATGTCTTTGATATGAAAAGAGAGCAATAACAATAACAAGGAAAAGATTCGTAGGTTGGAGAATCTCAAGAGATATTATTGCTTTGGAAGATAGCAACATGATGGAAGGAATCAAAGGGAGAGGAAGAGTTGGTGTTGGTGAAGAAGATATGGGAGACGGTATGCTGTGCAGTGATCATCCATATAGAAATAACGCTGGCGGGATCTGTGCATTTTGCCTTCAGGAAAAGCTAGGGAAGTTGGTTTCTTCTTCTTTTCCTTTACCTATTCGTGGGTCATCCTCATCTTCTTCCTCTCCTTCTTTTAGATCTGATACTGGCGTCGTTGCTGCTAGTTGTGGCAATGGTGTTGTCGATACTTCTTCTTCTTCATCTCTTTCTCTCTCTCTGTCTGTTCGTCCCACGACAACAAAAAGTAGGAACGATAGTGGCAATAATAGTCATTATCAAGAATATCATACAAGGCGGGCCAGGATCCCCTTCCTTTTGGCAAAGAAGAAGAAGAAGATCGTGGTGGCGTTATCAGATCATCATCATGCTGCTGCTGCTGATATCGTTTTTAAGAGAAGCAAGTCGACTACAACTCCAAGGAGAGGCCGGTTCTTGGATGCTTCTGTTGATGATGCTGAGGACTTTAGCCCCAGAAGGAGAGGTGGTTTCTGGTCATTTCTTTATCTTTCTGCCAAGTCCCATAGTACCAGAAAGCTAGATAAGATTGCTTCTGTAGCAGCACAGGCAGCAGCAGTAACAACATCAACAGCAACACCAGCAGCAGTAGGAGCTGCAGCCACTGGTTCTGTTGTGAATCCAAAGGAGAAATGCTTGGGATCATCATTGTCCAGGAAGGGAGGCATTGTAGTAGTGGAGGATGATGATAGTCCTAATAGTCAAGCCACTCCTGCATCATCATTTGAGCGCAAGGTTTCAAGATCTAGATCTGTTGGTTGTGGAAGCAGGAGTTTCTCTGGTGATTTCTTTGAAAGAATCTCAACTGGGTTTGGGGATTGCACTCTCAGGAGAGTGGAGTCACAAAGGGAAGGCAAACCAAAAGTTGCTGCCTCATCATCTGCAATGAAAGAAAGGGTCAAGTGTGGTGGCATTTTTGGTGGTTTCATCATGACCTCTTCTTCATCATCCTCATCCTCGTCTTCTTACTGGGTATCCACTTCAGCTGAGGATGTTAATGGGAAATCAACGGCTGGAACTCTTGTTCATGGGAGGAGTAAGAGTTGGAGTTGGGCTTTTGCCAGTCCCATGAGAGCCTTCAGCAAGGCTTCTTCTGGTAAGAGAGATACCATCATTAGAGAATCAAACAACGAGAACACAACTTCCAACCTGGCTGCATTTCCTTGTTAGCTGTTAGAGGCTAAAGAGAAGAACTTTGAGGGCTCTTGATTTCGGTTAATACACATTACATTTAGTTACCTGTTTATTTCTGTGTTTATGATCTTTCTTGGACTCTATTCCATTAGTAATGTAACACTAGTTTCTTTTTTTTTATTGTTTCTATATATCTGCAAATAATTCCGTTCTACAAAGTTGCTGGTCCTGTTGGTTGGCTGAGATTAGCACTGAATTTGGAGTACTATTATCCAAAACTCTGAGTTTGGCAAAGTGGAAACTGGTTCGAGGAGGAGAAGATTTGTTTGACTAGTATTATAATTATGATCTGTTCACTTTGTGATCTGAAGAAGTTTTCTGTTAAAAAAAAAAAATTTGTTTTCTTTAATCTTTGTAGTGTTTATTTCTAGGTTGCACCTTACTAATGGCAAAGAAATGTGGATTTCAATATTCTGTAACAAGTTTTCCTCCGATCACATGCATACACATGTTTGTTGGTCTTAGACACCACTGGAAACATCTACTACAAAACATATTTATTGCCTAGCTAATGCTAATCAGACCAGTAGCCCCCATGTTAACAACCACCATGACTGTTTGAGCCATTATTGGCTCATCCGAAGTCTTCCATACTTGTTTGGGTATAATCCCTTCTTCGGGTATCTTAAAAGACATTTAATAAGGCTTTATACTAAACAGAAAATTAATATTTTTCCAACTGCTTCAACTTCTGTGTTTCCTACTAGGGTTATCAGTTAGCAGCTTGGGGTTGGGGCATGCAGTCATACTGCTATTGAAGAGATCTAATGCAAACAAAATCTGCAAAATGTAAATGAAGACTGCAAAACTTTGATAGGAGAATTCAGGTTCACTGGAAAGAGAGTTAACAAGAGAAAAGCATGACATAACATTTCTTCAATCTACTGAACTCCATCCCTCATGCTCTCTCTTGGGTCCCCTCCTGCCAAACTGAAACACTCATTAAATGACTTCACATTCAAGGAAACTCGACAGGATAAAAGAGAGAGTTGAGTGCAATATCACATCATCAGCTACTAGGGTAAAATTTTTGTAATGACAAAGAAATATTGGAGGAGTTAACTTTGTCAAATTTAAATAAATTATATTTACTACCAGATAAATTAAGATCCAGGTGAAACTTTGGTGGCTCCAATTTATGTTTTGATAATGTAGGGAGAGGAAAAAAAATCCGGGGAAGCCATGACAAGACACAAACTTGAGATGAAGTACAGGATTGAAAGGAGCATGAGCAAAAGCCTGCTTCTGCTGGCCAGGGATACTGTTACTGGAGCTGAAACATTAATTTTGTGGACCACAGGACATGAACTTTTGCACTTTTTAATCCACCAAGACATGGGAAATTTTCCTCGTGCTTGGTAACGTAGATGCTTGGTTGGGATATTATCAAGTAAAGATACTCGCTGCTAGCTTTAGAGGTCATTGGGAAGGTGCAAAACTCAAAAAGGCTCTTCATGCCTAGTGCTGAAATTTTATTTTCATGTATCTTTTTCAATCCCCATCCCTTCCCTCATCTTAACCTTGTTATTCAGCTGGACATCATCATCATCGGTACCATTGATTAATTTGTGAGTACTAAATGCCAAACAAATTTACTTATATTCATGGAATTCCAACAAATTTTGCATGCTCAAAAACATATTTGAGTTGAATTAGAGTTTATGTTTTATATAGTTATCTTTAGAGGAGAAGATTCAAATAAAAGTATTCATAATTCGATTTTAATTGAATTAATTGATCAAATCAATTTAATTTAATTAATCAATTGATCAAAATTTAAATATAAAATAAAAAATATAAAAAATAAATCATTTTATTTCATAAATTGTTAAATTTTTTAACATAATATTTAGGTATTTGAATATTTTATTAGATAATTTTATTTAGTTTGTTTAAAATATAAGAAATTAAAAGTTTAAATAATAATTTAACTTAAATAAATTTATTATTTGGTTAATCGAAAAAATTAATTAAATCGATCAAAATAAATTCGATCAGTTAATTTTTGAAATTAATAATTTCAATTAGATTAATGAAAATAAAATAATATAATTCAATTAATTTAATTTTGAATAACTCAATTTGAAATTAATCGAACCGATCGAATAAACACCTTATATTCAAAAATTTAAACATGCAATTCTATTTTCTATTTCGTATTGTCGGCTCTTTTATAAAAAAAATGTTTTAATTTTGCAAGTTAGAGCAATTAAATTTGTCCTTATAATATGACACATATTAAATTTTGTTGATAGTTTAAAATATGGTGCATCTCACATTTGATAGAAAGATTTAATTATTGATCAATAAAAATAATTTTGTATTAATTTTATTTATATTTTAAATAATTATATTTGAATAGAAACAATTATCATATGACAAATGGTTATAACTATTTGAATATAAATAAATTATTATTCATAAAGCTCATGATTTTATAAAATGTTATAACCATCTGAATAGAAGTTTATATCTGTTCATTCATTATAAATAAATATTTCAATATAACCTTTTTTATTACTTTTAATTGGAGAGTTTAAGGATTTGTTGTATTCTAAAGACATAATTACTTTTAAAAAAGTGTTATTCACACCTCAAAGTAAATCTTTTCTATTATTCCTCATCTCGTATTTATTTTGTCTAACAATTCAAAAGCAATTATGAAAATTTTATGTTTCACACAAGAAAGATACAAAGAGAAAAATTGTCATGATTTAGAGATCAATATTATAGGAAGCTCAAGGTGTCAAAGGATTAATGTTTCTATGAACCAAAATGCTAATTTTTATAAAGATCTTCATTAGAGGTATATGTTTTATTTTTTGCATAATTACTGGTAAAAATATTGATTGAATGAGATAAACATGATAACAATTTATTTCATTAGTGTGTAAAATCAAAATATAATATGCAAAACATTGATTACATTACATAAGTTTATGGATATATTGAAATTGACCCCACAATTGGGTTTAATGAATTGTATTATATTTATTTAAAAAATCGATACTTATAAAGATTGATATGAGAAATAACCTGAAAACATAAAAGAGAAAGACATGAATTGATCTACAATCAAAAGAATTATTACTTGTTATCAAGTAACGAATTAAATTGGGTCCCAATAGAATAACCAATTATTTAATTGTCATATCTTTGTTACACATTGAGCAGACTAATTGTCCCATGGTTTTTATGAAAAACAATTAGAAATGGGTAAAGAAATTTACCATGAAAATTTAACTGTAGTGGAGAATATATGCAAAAAATAAGATTTGGCTGCAAGATTAGTTTTATTTTTAAATTATGACACCAAAATTAAGATAATAAATTGAGTCAAACTATTTGTGTAGTTCTATATTTGTTAGTCGTTTATAAATCAAAGGTTGATATATATATTTTAAATTTATTATTGGTTCAAAATTTGACTAGTGTTCAATTTTTGTGAAAACCAATTAAATTAAATTGATATATGTGAATAATTATTATTAAGATATGGTGTTTCATGGATTAATTAGTGGATAATAAACCAAATAATGATTATTATCAGAAACATAGTAGTGTGACATGTCTTTTGCCTGTTAGGTGTATTATACTAGAAGTGATTTTATAAAATAAAATTTTATTGTGAACAATCACATAAAAAATTGTCAAAGAGTTAATCAATGGTTAAAAAAAATATTGTTACTTTTCGCATATGGGATTTTGATTAAACGAAAAGGCATACCATTAAAAAATATATATATTGTTACTAGCATTTTGAAGGATGCTCATCAATGTCTAATTAGGTATGTTTATAAATTAGAAAAGAATATGCAAATTTAATGTTTCAAAGGCACCAATACATGCATGTGTTTAATTTCATTTTGTGATGGTATGGAGAACATTGGTACAGTTTGCCATATATTACAAAAATGAACTGAATGGGATGAAAATTTATTTCTTATACATATAAGAAAGATATGGACTATGGAGATAGAATACCATCATCCAATTAATACATAATTGGTTAAAAACAATAAAGGTATTTTTACTTCTTGTATCGAAAAAAATGACCTTTTGTAGGCTATTAAAATGAAAAGTGAACAAAATTTTGAGGTTTTCAATAGTTTCATGACTATGGCAAGAATGTGACTGGTTATATACCATATTAACATATGAGCTTAGATAATAATATTTATTTGTGAAAGCCGTAAGCCTTAGAATTAGCCAATCAATGATTTAAACAATACAAATTCATCATGAATTTTTGCATGAAATATGAGTAGTCATTATATTATAATTATTGTTTATACTATTTTATGAAAATGATTTTTTGGATTCATGTTTCATGTTTCATGTTTCATTACTTGCATTGATATGGTGATCTAGATATGAACATATTGGTTGCAAAATGATTGTGAAAGTATTTAAAATTAGAGTTAAATATACTATAGACTCTTATTGTATATATGCATATTAGTCCTATGAGTAAAGTTTAAATTTATTATATATCCAAAATTTTTTAACTAATTAAATGTGGTAAATAACAGAGATATATAGGCTATACAATGGTGGAGAAATAAAGTTTTTATAAAATTTTGAAATCAAGTTTAGAGGTTTCAATAATCATGAACTTGAAATTGACCATTAGGCAATTATTATATTCATTGAAAACTCATGATAACATTTGAGATAGTTGATTTTCACTAAAAGCTATCATTATAAATGAAATAATTTTAATAGTCAAATCTACATGATTTGTATGTATGAGGTGGATTATTATGATTGGCTTCGAATAACCATAAGCCAAAAATGATGCCATAATCTTGATCATGTTACGGTAATTTTTGTTATGTATATGGTTTACTTCGTGGATTATAAAATTATTTATCATATATGGTTTTATATAATGAAAATTTCGAAGTATATTTACTTTAAAAGCCATGAGTGATTCAAAAATCTTGTAAATTTGAAAACTTTTATAATAGTAAAAAGAATGCTATTTGATCCATTTCAATGATGAAAATAGTTTTGTTAAAATTATTAATAGTGTCCATGATGGAATAGATTCATATAAATATTTATGAATTGACATAAAAGTCTTACAAGGATATTATAGAAGCATGATTATATGTGAAATCTGCCTATTGATATAAACTCTTATATTGAATCAAAATATAAAAGTTTTGAAACTTTTATTGAAATATTCAGATATCAGCTAATTATCTTTCATTAAGGGTGAGTTTGAAGGTCTTCTACTTAAAAAAAAAATCAAATAGTGAAAAGATAAATGAAATGACAATTTGATTAAGTATATATGATATCTTGATAATTGAGTGA